GAGTCCAGAAATAAATTCACATATATTGTATATGAACTGTTAATATATGACAAAAGAGCCAAAAACTTAGGAATAAGGATAGCCTCTTCAATAACTGGTGTCAATAAAATGAGACAGCTATGTGCAAAAGAATGAAATTAGACCACAATCTCACACTATCCAACAATATCAACTGAATATGGATCAAAGAATTGGATGTAAAGCCTGAACCATAAAATATAGATGATAACAGACAAAATAGTTCATGACATAAGCACTAGTGATGACTTTTGGGATTCTTCCCAAACAGCAAAGAAAACAAAAGTGAACATAACAATTAGGACTACTTCAAACTAAAAAGCTACTATATAGTGAAAGAACCATAACTAGAACACACACCTTACTCAAAAATATTTTTACACCATATATCTGACAAAGGACTGATATCAAATAAAAATAACTCATATAACTATACAAAAACATTAGCAAAAAATGGGCAAAAGAGATAAACGTCTCTAAAAAAGACATTCAGAGGGCCAGCAGGCACGTGGAAAACTGTTCACAATAATTATTATTAGAGAAGTACAAATCAAAATCACAGTGAGATAGCATCTTGCACCCACAAAATTCAAACACACCAACTCAAAAGAAAATTTGCTCTGCTATGTTTATTTCAGTGCTATTTACTATAACTTAATTACGGAAACAATCTAAGTTCCCCAGAACAAGTGGGTGAATCAAAGAGATGTGTTATATAGGGTCCTCCCTCTCTGGTGGCGCAGTGGGTTAAAGCACAACACTATGTGTTCGATCCCCAGCCCGGGAGGTGACCCACGCGGCGCAGCAGACCTCTCCTGACCTGCCCGCTGCTCCCCTCAGCAGTGTACTTCATCAGTTGGCCTGTTCTGCTCCCCAATCTCTGGTGATTCCTCTCACCTTCCCTGCACCTCTGGCCTGTACCCCAGTTCTGTATGCATACATAAATAATAATGAAAAAGAGATATGTTATGTATACACCATGGAATATTATTCGGTGATTAAAAAGATAAATTCACGCCATTTGCAGCAACATGCATGGAACTTCAAGAGATAATGTTAAAGTGAAAGAAGCCAGATGGAGGGAGATAAATAACAGATGACATCACTAATGTGAGGCACATAAAGTAACTAAACAAAATCAGATAAAGACAAGCTTGCAAACTAACCCTTGAAAGTTGACTACAGAGCTGAAGCACCAAGTGGTGGGGTTTGGGTAAGAACAAAGAGGGAGGAAGAAAAATAGACTAGAATGG